TGAATACATTCCTAATTTCCAGAAAGGCTGCTTGATCTATAAAAGTATGGTTTACAGATCCATACCAAGAGATGGGCTGTGGACAATATTTTACATAATTCCAAATAGTAATTTTTAAATATGTGGCTCCACCTACAGGTAAAATATTGTACTGCCTCTAAATCAGCACTAGACAATCTCCAACAAGGTTGTGACTATCTGACAGCACCTAAGTATCAATTTGCCTAGATTGTCCTTAATATCTATCCAACTTGTCTCTGTCAGCTTGTGTATAAATTCCTTACTACAGTCAGTATTTCAACCAATACTGCTATTCATCCCCCTGCTTTTCTTAGATTCAGATGATTGATTGCATTCGAACTTCAATATGTATTGAGGTTTATATTATACTAAAAAATGTGAGGGTTAGTCAAGTATTTTATGAATGTTTATTTGTCTAATAGGTCTTTCCTTTAAACATTCATAAACCAGTTATAAGGGGGAGATGTGTTTAAAAACTTTGGCTAAGTTCAGCCAGAATTTACAATGGCTTCTGATGGTAAAAATTCTGAAAGATCCTCCCCAAACTCCACTCCTCCAAGATGCAAAGTCCAATCACGCTATCGCCTCAGCAACCTTGATCAGCATAGCTCTTATGGAATTCTGGCTATAACCCTAAAGCTGTCTTCCCTGTCCTGCAGCTCATGACACATACTCATACCCATTACAGAAAATCCAGAGAGGAGGACAAGATCAGGGACACAACCAGCCTCATGAGATACAGGGAAACAGGCTGGCACAGGAAAGTTTGATTGACACCTCCATGCACCAGTTTGGACTCTGGCCCACGGATACATATATTTTTTAAAAAGAGAGAAAGAACACCAAACCCTGCTCTTAAAAAGAAAATTACTTTGTCACATGGGTAACAAAATTAGAATTACATTACTGAAGCTAAAATTATTCCAGAAATTGAAATGGACATTTCAGTGTTTGTGCTGTTTGTTTACTTCGGTGTTTTACTCCATGTGAACAGTAAAAGCAGACCATTTAGTTTCATATTCAGGGACTAACAAAGGCTGCAGTTTCAACATTCTCCACCAGCCTGTGCAAGTTAAAAGCAAGCAAACACACACAAAAAGCAGTTTCAGAGATGTTTTTTAAAAAATCATAAAAAGAAAAAGAAAAGAAAAAAATTGGTTAGTTCAGAGGAAAATAGTGGGCCAAACTACACTGACTCTTTAAAGTATTACAGTGCCTGAAACATGGTTTCAAAACTGATGTTTGCATTTCCAGAATCTCTCTAAACACATTCTATTTGGCTTACCTTACCTCACATTAAAAGGCCAAATATTTGGATAAAAATTGACTTCCCCAAATCATTTATCGGTAAGCCATTCAACCCACACTTCTACTCAGCACTTTGAACCTACGCATTTTCGGTTATCTATCATCTTTTCCACAGGAAACATGCTGTACAAATCCACATTCCATCAAGCAGGAAGAAAAAGGGTTAAGTACCTTTAGCAGGTGTGCAAAATCAAGCTAAAAGTAAAGAAGTCCCAAGGAGCTGTGGGTGCTCAGCCCATTTGGAAAAATCAGACTCTGAATGCATGGAGACCCAACACTGATTTTTATATACAGGGTATAAAGAAATGGTATTTTTACAAATATATACTTCCTGCCAGGGCTTGGCTAACTAATTATAGTGATTGCTCAAGCTCTCAAATATATTGTTCTGATTTCCAATCCTTAACTGGATAACTTCAAAAAGTAATATATAGCAGGATGTTGAAGAGAAGACTAAATCAAGAACGAGCAAATTCCTTCATGTGTAAGTCATACAGCACCTAAAACAGTCAATCTTTCACACATTTTAACATGTTGAGAAAACATTAGGCTAATTCTCCTTTTATAGGATCAGGATTCTAAGGACGTATTGAGCTGGGAGAAACAAATGCTAAATAAAAGGAAAGATTTAGTCATTTCATCTAAAAACAGAATCAGAACATATCTTTAGATTGGCGTTTTACTTTCAAGAGAACAGCAGTACTAACTGTAGAAGCATCCCCCCCAAAATCCAGAATTTTCCTCTTAAAAATACAAAACCACTACACCATACTTGGTTTGAATTTTTCAGTGACGGAGTACCTCCCTCTTGCAAGCTGGTAGCATTGTTCACTGGAAAGGAGTCAATGGCTCTAACACAGTAAAAATGTTAAACCAAAACTTTCCACAGTGGACACTTCAAGTCTGGCACCAAAATAAGTCACCACATTATCAGAAGCACTGACAACTCATACCTAAAGCTGGTCAAAAAATGGGAGACAATACTTATATCCAAAAAGATTTCAGCAAAAATTTGATTAAAATGGTGATCCCCCGCGCCGCCCCTCCCCCCCCCCACACACACAAGTTGTCCATCCAACTCTATTTGCAGCACTCACTGGCTTTAATGGAAATCATAGGCCCTCAATATCTCTGAAAATCTAGCTAGTTTCATTTAGAAATCCAATATGGATTTAGATACCTTACTTTAAGCACCCAACTTTGAAAATGTTTGCTTTTTTTTAAATAATAATAGACTTTAACTCTGAGTATACCTATTATAGTATAATATGTTCAGTATCTCTAAATAACGAACATTGGTGAAATTAATGCCTCTATACTGGTATGAGGTTGGGGCGGGGAGTGGTGGGGGGGGGGGGAAGTACACAGGATTTAGGAGCAAGAATTAAACAGAATCCAGTCTTCAACCAGAGACCGCTTTCAACTTGGCCTAGAATAAAGGCCATGATCCCGTATACTCATTATATGAGTATTTGTGGTCGCTGAATCAGCATATTTGTGGATTCAATAGCCAACCGCCACTCTTTCCTCAAATTTCCATCTGTATCCCTGAATTTTGTCATACAATGATCTGACACAGCAGAATCAAGTAAACTCCACTGCAGATATTAGGCTTTGTCTACACACAAAAGTTGCACCCATATAACTAGATCAGTTTAACAGTGCCTTAGTTTAATTTACCTCAAAATGTGTAAGGAACTGAAAAACTAAACCAGGAGTGGGCAAACTTTTTGGCCCAAGGGCCATATCTGGGTGGGGAAATTGCATTCAGGGCCATGAATATAGGGCTGGGGCAGAGGGTTCAGGTGCTGGAGGGAGTTCGGGGTGCAGGAAGGGGCTCAGGGCAAGGGGTTGGGGTGCAGGAGGGGTGCGGCGTGTACGAGGGGGCTCAGGGCAGGGGATTGGGGTACAGGAGGGGATGCAGAGTGAGGGAGAGGGCTCAGGGCAGGGGGTTGGGGTGTGGAAGGGTGTGGGGTGC